AAGTGAGTTTAATCACCATATTTTCATTCACCAAGTCAACACCATAACAAAAGCCTCAGGAATGACATGATACCCGTCTCAGATGTATAGAAAATTACATATGAAAAAAGAGAAAACTTGGTGAGGTTTACAATGTGCTATACAAAGCAAATTTTGACAGTTCACATTCTTTCTAACTGCTCTTGCGGATCCTCAGCACTTCAATACCATATCTTCTCATTTCTTTGGCTACTTAGCAAGCCTAACCAGCTAGCTTCGTACAATGTTTGTACATTCCACCTTCCCCTTTCTTATTATTCCTTTCATAGAGAGGAGACACCAACTGACTGACTGTCTTTCTGAAGGCTTTTACCTGCCCGCTTTATACAATTTCACCTCTTCGATTCTTGTTTTTTATATTTTGTTGTGCATTGAAGTTTTTGCAAAAGTTCGATTGGTTTTCCGGTGAAGGATTTCTAGCCTTCTTCTTTACCTCTGACTTGGGATGAGGGTAGAAAACAGGCGAGCTAGTAGACTAGGCGAGGTAGAATATCAGCGGGAAGCAATGAGTGGGCCATCGGCGAGAGAGTGACATTGAGGAGATCGTGTGGGTTGGGGAAGGAGACGAGAGACTGTGAGGAATCTTGGAGGACAGCAGAGAACAGAAGGAAGTGATGTCTCGCTGAAGCCGTATGTTCCACTTGGAACCCAAAGGAATAATAATAAAATCAAGCAAGTTGGGAAAAGTTGTTGCAATTAGGAGCAATAGTACTTAAATAATCATTAGTAGGACAGTACAAAATTTATGTTAACAGGAAGATAATAATAGATTCTTTTTATTTTTCTCGTAGAGTTCAGGTCTTTATGGGGGTTGGTAAATTGTCTCAAATTTTGGATATCTAAAATTCTATATCTTTTTATGCCTTATTGCTTCGTATTTTCACTGGTGTTCCAGTACCTCATTCAAAAGTAAAATTCAGTTTATTTTGCAAGTCACTATTTTTTGTCAGTTATCCCATACTAATGAAATTACACATTCTATAGACAATGCCTAATGTCACAATAAAGCTGAAGACTTACAGGCGAAACCAGCCAACAGGTTGTCAGAATAGGCAGTTAGCAAAGACAAAGTATTCATAGTGGACACAGAGAAGACGGAGGTTATGAAGATAAGCAAGCAAGCAACCAACCAACCAACAACAACAACAACCAATCACGACTAACTGAAGAAATTTGACAGAAGTAAATTCAAACACTTATCTAGAAAGCATCCTTACAACTGCAGGCATATCAGGACGGGTGAGGATTTCTAAAATGTAGAGTGTATCGGTAGGGCGAGACAAACCTTCATCACTTTAAAATTCCAAAATCCGATTTAAGCAATCTAACCCGCATTTCCGATACATTCTCATCCGGCTTTACATAATGAAATATTAGTCACAAGCATTTGATTTAATGTGACTAGTAAGTTCATATAGGGTCAGAGTTAAAGGATGTGAATTAATGGACAACAATGAAGGTGATCATAATATTAATAATTATTGTTGTAATAACAAGGATAAATCCAATCAAGTGTTTATATAATCTAGATAGATAGTGGTGAGTGTGTCGGTGGAATGTGTATACTAGTCGGTGTAGTGGGGAGAATAACTATTGTCACATAGCGATTAGATAATATAACAATAGCAATTATATTAATGATAAATTTTAAAGCTGAGAATAAAATGTACAACTACTGCTCAGCCTGATATTGATAATACAGTTAGCATGAAAAATAAAATAAAAATATATAGTAGGATAATATTTACAGTCATTCGGAGAGAGATAACTATTTCAGACTGGGAGAGAAGGCCAAGTTAGGGAGAGAGATTGAACAAACTTTTTCTGATCATAGAGATTGGGTTGAAAAATCATTATGGCAACTGCCTCAGCTATACGTAGCACCCAAAAACATAACAACCTAGAAAGTTGAGGTGGTACCCTGCATAGAATTGTCAATGTTGTGCCCCGTGTATCAACCAGACGTGCGTCAGTATGGAACTTTTGACTGGCTTTACTACTCCTTTGCCTAACTAAACACTTTGGATAATCCTCCAAAAGGCGACGGTGGGCTTGCCGAGTCGTTCTAGATAATGTAACTGCCTCCATATGAACAATTAAATTTATAATTGCACATTGAAGTAACCAGACTCGGTAGTAGCTAATCCTTCGCCTGCGTTGGAATTCTAAAATGAGAAGCAAATTTTAAACAAAATGTTGCAGCGCAGAATGTTTTAGCTATTACTTTACGAAGTTTTGATGCCAGCAATTCTGTTGCTGCGTCTCATTTAAACGGTAAAGTCATGTGTATTAGTGTTTCTTCTAAACAGCTTGCAGACGTTTCTTTCTGTCTGTTCGCCTCATGGAGACTTGAACAAATTTTTCGAGGTATCCGTTCTCGTACAGAAACGTTTTCTACTTTCTGTATTTCATCGTCTAGAGTGTCGGTTGTGCAGATTTTTCTACCACAATACATCAAGGTACCGATTAGACCGCGTTTGCATGCAGGAGGAACAAACGACTTGAGATGGATGCATAGGCCGACTAGTGACTTCTTCCGGAAACCTCCCCCCTCCTTACTACTGCCTTCTTGTTGGCAGAACTCCAAGAAATGATAGGGTGTTTGTAGTCTTTCTCCTTTTCGTATGTGAACTCAATTTGTAGGTGAGTCATACTGAACTTTTGGAGAAGGACCTACATATCGATTATATAATTATGCAAGATAAAAAGCAAAATGTAAAGTCCATTTAGAAATTTGCTTCACTCAGAATAACGGAGAGGATTTGGATTTTCAACGTTACTGCTAAATCAACCACATCTTCTGTGTATGTGTCGTAAATTTGGCGCATCATGAAAATCACTTCAGACAGTTAACTTTCAACTTTTATCAACGTCTCACCCCTTTATTGGCTTCATAGTCAAGCTCAGATGGCCAATCAGAAAAAAATGAACGGCGAGAAACTCCAGGAAGGAAACAGTCGTGAACCTAGTGCCCGACAAATACTCTGAAGAAAGTCAAGATGGATGGGGTATACTCTAGGAAGATTGTTGGGTATGACATCATGAGCCAGGCCATCACTTGGATGGAAGCCAAGTGGAAAGCGATTAGCTGGGTGTCTCTAGATGACAAAGAAGAATCGTGGTTAATCGTGGAACTAGATAAACAGGACAAATGGAGCTGTTAAAAAACTTTGATGGATGTAAATTCTGGTAGCCCAGTGATTTAAGCAGGATACAGTGTGGAAATTTTACCATTTTATACAGTACTGAATCTAATGTTCTCTTGAGATAGCATGGTGAAGGGAAAAACAAACGAAAAATATCAGATACTACAGAGCTTAAATGATGTTAACACTTATGAGGAAATAAAAAAATTAATGTGGGGACTATAAATATAAGAATAATAATGACAGTAAGGAAGGTTTGTTAGTTAGTTTGTCTCTGACACTGTTTTCATCACATAAAATACGTGCCGCCAAATATGGTATCGCGAAATTTTTATACTTAGAAATGACCAGATACAGTCTTCTTAAATAGCTTCTTGTCTTACCCCAGGAGACACAAGGTGAAAGCTGTGGATGCTGCAGTGGATACTCACAGTCTGACAGAATCCCTTTAGTAAATTTGTTGCATGAAATAAAATGCCTATCATCAGCGATATGGCCCAATGGGATACTGCCACTCGCCATATTGACTGGTAGTCTTCAGAGTCCTGCGACGTATAACATCGTCTTTATTAAGAAATCCAGGAAAGAATAAGGGTGAACAATAAAGAAGGTGAAATGCGCAAGAGGTGACGAACTATAAGAGGAGGAGGGGTTGAGTTATGCCTAAGCGCCTTAACATCTTAATGTAAAAAGTCAGATGGAAAATGGTTTTAGAAATCAACTAGACATGGGAAGACCACGATAGATCAGAAGCAAGAGTTAGTTCAGTATATTTAATGCCTGACTTGATTTCTACATCACTATCATTAGTTTTACAACGGTCGCAGGAATTTACACCTTCATTTGACTTTCTTTTACATCAGAAACTGAAATTAACTGTTTTGATATTTGGAAGGATTTAGTAGAAGACCGTTAGACAAAAATCATTTTGCTAAGTCCTGATAGAAAGATATTCATCTTAGTACAGTCTGACTGGGAGTTAACAGACGTTGAAAAAGCTACATCGTTCTCATTCTTAACAGAGTTTACGTCGTCAGAGTGAGGCAAGTCATGCATGAAGAAAGAAAACATAAAAAAGGAGAAAGAACAGCCTCAGTAAGCAATGAAGTGAATGACTTCCCCTGACATAGAGTGCACTGCTTTCTTCCTGAGAAATACGAATGCAGCCATTTGACAACTCAACAGTCAGTTTGAATTTTTTGCAAGCTTATTTAATAAAATATCTCGAGGTACTGAGTCGAAAGCAGATGTGTAATCTAGGAAGGTGCAGCGAACAAATTTAGCCCTCTTGTCTAAACTGGAGACGAAATGTTATGATGCAATACTGCAACTGCATCTAAAGTACTTCAACTGTGTGTTTATAGACGAATTGTTTGAGATCGTTAAAGGCTTTAAGGGAAGGCTTTTGAGATTAGATGAGAACAACTCTTCCGTAGATTTTAGATAAGGAGAGGTAATAGCCAAAGATCTAAATTTAATGCATGTTCCAGTAGATGACTTAGGTACGGCATTCCTGGAAAAAGATTGATGCAATATGCCAGTGAAAGGATAACATAGGATATGTGCACATTACTTTTAAGAATAACACTAGGCACACTATATGAACCTAGGCTAGTAGAAGAGTTCAGCAATTGAAGACATTTTAGAATGTCATTTGTATTGAACTCAGGGAAACATGTTTCATAAACACTTGTGGCATTAGAAAGCCTGACAATGCTAATAATAATAATAATAATAATACATGGATAGAAAATTAGACAACAGTGAACGCCTGTGTTTGAAGAAGTCACAACATAAACAGTACAGTTAACTTACCGGTTTCAGTAAATAAATGAAATGTGGATGTGAATGCAGTTTTCAATATTCCAAAAAAATATATTCACCAGTTTAGTTAAAACGTTTTTTTTCTCTGTCTTTATATCTGTTTTACAGGAAAGTGAAATGATTTTTTTTGTAAACTCTTGCTCTTTTGCCTTCGTCGAATATTTGAATATTTTAAAAATCCTGTTCTGTCTTATTAAGAGGAATACACAAATAGATTACGAGACTGTATTCCAAAGGTCTGTCTGGGAAGTACTTTCGTCTGATAATGTGCTTTCAACGTCGATTGCGATAGTCTTATTATTATTATTATTATTATTATTATTATAAAAGTTGTAGTTGTAGTAATGTTATTTCTATTAATATAAATATTCGAAACAGCTTAGGGTGATTAATAGCAGCAATAGTTATCATTATAGCGTTCTAATTAAATAAAAAGGCTGAAAAACATTTTGGTGGTTTAGAATATCACTCAGTGGATGTTTGTCATTAAAATTAAAATTCTACAATAAGTATAAAACTGTCTACATCTGATTGGTTGAAAATATGACTTTAGATTAACCAATGTATGATGAGTAGGATGTTAGCATAATGCATCTGACCAATAGAAAGTTAGTTAATTGTCAACTAAAAATATGTTGGTTATTTTTTTTTAGGGATTCGATGATTTGTCACAAGTTCGATCATGGATTAGTGTCATTTGAGGAGAGAAGCATTCGAGAAGCAGTACGAAGTACTGCCAGACGACTGTCTCTGCTATCCCAGTGTGTGTTACTCTTCAACAGTAAGCTCCCTCTAGGATTTGAACCGAGGAACTTCCGGACACTGGGACCCCATTCAGCTGAGGGCTAGCGAATCTCAACTTTGTAAAATTGTGAGAAAAGCAGCGATAATAATTAAAACAGTTTCAAGTTAACAACTCAGATTACGGAAATTTTAACCCAAATACCTCCATAAGAAGGCTTGTTCATAAAACTGCAGTTTGGTTATAGGATTTCATGATGAGCCGACATCGGTTAGATAACCATTGGAAAACCTGGCACTATTGGACAGTTGTTTCGTCCTAGTTTGAGATTATTCGGCACTACGCACTTACAGGTAGGGTTCGAACCCTGTACCTTCTGGTTTCAAGACGAGCTCGCAGACCATGCGGTTACTGAGACCCGATTCGGCAGCCCATGAATTCCAGCTTCTGTCAGTTAAGGAAATAGCGTGACCAGTAGCCAGTGTCTTCAGAAAACTACAGTTTCTTGGTGATGACATCTATGAAGTGGTAACACGTTAAAAAGCTATTCAGGGCGTCACAAATACTCCGTCTTTACAAAACCACTCTGAATTTAAGTTTAACATCCCCTCAACTAACACCATCTCCCCCGTGTCACCCTCACACCCACCACCAACTCGTCGCTTCCCATTCACCTTCCACTCAAGCGATGGCCCGCATCTGATGCCAATCTACATTATCTTCTGCGTATTTTCCGGGAGACCGGCTCTTGGTTGGTTTTGTCATAACCAGAGTTTCTCATTGCTAACTCTTTCTGTTCAGGTGGCTCTGGCCATTATTTTTTCAGTATTAAGCCAGCCAACAAATATATCAGCTGTTAATAGAAGTCTATAACTCGCTGTTGGAAATCGTCTTCGTGAAATGCTGGCCAAATTTCTGACCTTTATGAAAGAACTGGCTGACTTCAAATTTGCATTGTAAATCCAAAACTTGTTCTCCATGCTGATTTCAGAAAATTTTAGGCTCATGCATCTAACGATTACGATGCAGGCCGGCTAGATAGCTGGGTGATTTCGACATCTTCATCCATTCCCGCTATCTGTGTTTTAGACAATGCTGGCTTCACAAATAAGTGAGGGCAAGAATTACCCTCTGTCAAATCTCTGCTGTTGATTCATGAGATTGCGGCTGCTTGTTGTTGTTGCTGTCACTGTTTACGGTAGTGGCAGGTTGGCTGGTTATCCTTCTGTATGTTCATCTGAAGTCCACTGGTCTTCGCTGCTAGCTTTTCCTCCAAACTTGTTGGTTTTCGCCTGCTTACAGGTCTCCAAGATTGTGTGATATTAAACATGAATATTCCACTGGCGAAATTCACACCTTCTAGAGTCTACTCATTAGTTTTCGTGGATTATTCCTTTCTTCCCACTCACTCACTCACTCACACACTCACCTTCAATGCACAGTCTGACACATGATCCTGTCCACCACAGTTAGGGATATCGAGCACCGTGATGGCGAGCTAGCTAGAATGGTGGTCACATTACAATCTGAATGATAGAATCCAGTCTACAATAATCAGAGGACTAGACGCATCACACTAGTTACTAGTGTCAAGTCAAAATAAGAATATCATCGTTGGTGATAATAAGCTGCCAGCCAACCAGTCAGCCTCATCTTACTCCTGCATTCACTACTACCAAAACAGACTTCATTGACGTTTCCGTTCTGGATCACTTCACATGTGTCATCATCGTTATTTACCGGTTGAATTCCGTTGATGCGGATCTGCTACATTGAATTCCATATTGTTGATATAGTTTCTAGAATACTGGACGACTGCTTCAGTTGAAGGCCTTTACATATATGATGAATTCAATGTAGTTATACTGTGGTGAGAGATGGCTGATAGCCAAATTGATAGACAGTAATTTACATCAGTGTTTATTTACCCAATATTCGTCGTGAGTAAAATATGAACAAGGATTGATTCAAAAACCAACCACAGAAGACTTTCCGTAGGCGGATACAGTTAGCACATAGTTGATCTTACATTCAAGAAACGGCTACAAATAGATGGAAGACTAACTTTCAGTGAGAAACAACCAATCAGAAGGCTGTGTTTTTCTGCTAACATTAATCTACAATATGTACATGAAAATCCATAAAAATGTGTTGGTTTCCTTAATAAACGATCTGTTGCCTGGCCCCTGTCTTCTGTTGTCACAATATAACCTCCATCCTATACTCTGTTGGATGACAATGATGCGTAGAGTTACGGTTTGATCCGAACATGATTTACTCCTCATGAGTCCTGCTTGTTGATGCCTGGTGAAAGTCTGCATCCAAAGCATCTGTTTATTCTCTTTTCAGGCAGACGTGACTTAAAATTTCGCCTTACGTCATAGACAACCTCGCTAAGATTACTAGTTCGCCATTTTTCCAACCGGTCTCAAGCCCGGGTAAAGAGGGAGGGTTGGGCGTGGTGCTAGCAACTCCACCCCTGTAAAACAACCAAATCCCCACAGAAACTTCAACGAATAAATATATTAAAAATACTAAAAATATAAACAGCAACCTTAGTTTTCGTTGGAATCGGGGAAGTGGAATGGCACAGGTTGGTGAAAGCTAGCCTTCGGGAAGCCAGTCAGCCGATGTGCCTTCTTTCGATGAAAGCAAAAGTAAAGAAGGGTACCTGGAATGTTCGTACAATTTACGAAACTGAAAAGGCTGCCCAGATAGCCGCTGAAATGAGAAGGTACAGAATAGAAGTGTTGGGAATCTGCTAGAGCAGACGGAACGGATGTGGAAGGTGCCAACTACCTACTCGAGAGACAGTAATCTATTCCGATCACCCAGAGGACAACCACGAGCACACCGAGGGAGTGGCCATCGTTATGTCACCAACAGCAGTCAAAGCTCTCATGCAGCGGGAACCAATCTCCTCCAGGATAATCACAGCCAGGTTCAACTTAAAAGGCAGGAAGGAAAGTTACAGTCATTCAGTGCTATGAGTCTACAAATGTCTCAGAACAAGAGAAGAAGGAGGCCTTCTACAAACAAATACAAGCAAAAATGGACAACGTCCCAAATGTCGATATCAAAATCCTGATGGGCGACATGAGTGCGAAGCTGGCAGGAGACAATACAGGAAGAGAACTCACCATGGGTCGTGAGGCCCTCGGTGAAATGAACGACAATGGTGAACTCTTCTCAGACTTCTGAGCTTTCAATGATTTGGTGATTGGCGGCAGTGTGTTCAAACACAAGGATATAAACAAGGCTTGGTGACATCGCGCGTCAGGCCATTGCTCGGGTGGAACCCAACAGGGAAGCACGCGACGAGTGGGATGTCAGTGCAAAGGTTACATGCAGGAGATCGTGTGAGGACCAGCGGAAACAGTATGGACTAACTAACATGGATGCAGGTGAAAAGCACAGCGGAAGACAGAAGTGACAAGTAGAGACATGCAGTTGAAGCCCTATGTTCCATTAGGAACCCAAAGGAACAATAATAATAATAATGATCAGAGATAGTGAAGTCAACAACTTGTTCACACAGTTTCTTTACTGGGATGTTTCCTACTTTGTTTGTCCCCTTCTATTCGAGTAATAGTCATTTACTTTATCAGTAGGAGAATTAGTAGTGGTACAAGTAGTAGTAAGCGGCATTAGTATACATGAGTAGTGGTCAAAAACAAGGCGGGTACACTCTTCTTAACCAAAACAGATATTATTATTATTATGCACGAATTATTTGACAAAATCAAAATGACGTTGCGACACAAACAATAAAAGCCTACACACATCTATATACATACATACACACATACCTGCAGACATACACACACACGCACACAGTATGAATCTTGAAGTTTTAACCATGTTTTCAGTGTTGAACACATTCACTTTGGTTATTATTATTCTGTCTTTAGTTAATTTTCTCAAGGGAGAGTGATTTTTCTTATAAAACTTTTGAACGATAAAGTGACATTTATTCATCCACGTTGTTGTTGTTCAGTTTTTTTTCATTTTTCATTTTTAACGTTATCCGCTTACAAAATAAAATAAAAGTGGTTACTTTAATAAGAGAAGCATAGATTCCCTGGTATTATAGTAGTTTCTCATTATTTATATGAATATTGACAGGCATAAACACCAGTTATGTTGTTATCTCTCGTGTAATTCACCCAATAATAAAAACTTTGTGTTTATATAAAACCACACTACATGAAGCAAAAATTATTGAAGCATTGAATTTTGAGTATAAACAATCATGATAGTAATATAACAGTAATAACATTAATAATAATAATAATAATGTCAATTTTGATTTTTAGAATTCCTAACAGTCAGTGTCCAACGAATTATTCCCTGCCATATCTAGGCACCATAGTTTTGATTACAACTTCATGGGGTGGTAAGGAAGGGATGAGGATGTTAAACCGCACTAGCAACTGAAAAACAAGAGATATGAAATTAATAGTGTTCTCTGAGCAGCTGGTTGGTTTAATTACGGCGGAGCTTTCGTCTTCCCCCTCCCTATGCTGGACAATATCCCCCTTCAGCGCAATTTTTAGCATAAAGTGAAATCATTTAAATTTTCC